TCACTAATACCCGGGGACTGATAAAGCTACACCAACACTGCACGTAACACTTCCTTCACACACCCTCTCCTCCACAGAAGGAAGCTCTCGTCAGGTCATGGGACATGTTTTCTTTGACAACAGTAGGTTTATGTCTCACTTCCCCATCTGACTGTGTCACCGTGATTCTGAGCACTGCTGCTGTCCCACGCCTGACAGTAATAATCAGCCTCGTCCTGCGCCTGGACTCCAGTGATGGTTAACGTGGCCGTGTTACCGGAGTTGGCACCAGAGAATCGATCAGGGATTCCAGAGGGTCTCTTGCTATTCTCATACATAACAAGTAGCGGGGCGCTGCCGGGTTTCTGTTGGAACCACCGCACATCCTTGCTACCAATGTTGTTCCCTGAGCAGGTGAGTTGAGCATTTTGCCCTGGAGACACAGACACTGAAGACGGCTGAGTCAGCACGTACTGGGTGAGAGAACCTGAGACAGGAGGAGAAAATGCATGAATAAAATGACCCAGCATTGACTTTATCCCTAGTTAACATAGTTATCCCTAGTTTGCAGGCAGCCAGGGGGGAAAGCAAACATCACCTGAGCAGTACGTGAGCAGTGTGAGGAGCAGAGGGGCCCAGGCCATGGTGGGAATCCACACGAGCTCGGCTTCCTGAGGGAAACGGGTCTGTGCCTGGGACCCTCCGATTCTCTCTTAAACCCCCAGCGCTGGAGAACGGCCCCTTCATGCAAATCTGCTCCTTGCTTACTAGCTACTAAGGGCTCTTCATTCACCCGTACGAGAGAGACAGAGACACAGGCCAGGGGAAAGATTCTGGGACCAAGTCTTCTCTGCTCTACACTGGTGTAAATCCCAGGTAACTCCACTGAACTTTACCTTGTTGTAAGAGTGGAGTAAGTGAAAGGAGAATCAGCCGCTTTCTGCATAAACTCAAATATTTAATGATGTAGAGCAGGTATTGTTGAGCCCAGGCTGCCCTGCTGAGGCATACTGAGCATGCACCTCAAAAGCATAAAAGGATCATTAAACATTGTGGTTAGACATATCGTATCAGTGTTGGCACTGCCCTGGGGAAGGGTTATATTTCTGGGGACCATCCACTGCAGTTTCAAAGCTTTGCTCAGTTTCTGGTCGGAATCTCCTCTTGTAAACCTTTGGGAGTGTAAAAGTGGCTGAGGTGTCCAGTGGCTGGCGATGTATATGCAGAGCAGAAGGGGAGTTGAGAAAGCAAAGGGCTCAGTCGGTAAGAGATTGTCCTGCACACGGAGAGGGGCTCGCACCATCAGATCCTAGGGCAGAGTTGGAGGCACGGAGGGAAAGGGGGGTAGTTCAGGGGATAGTTTGTGTGTGTTCAATTTGGACAGGTTTCTGCTCAGTGCTGTTTCTAGCACAGAGACCTGCTTAGTCTGTATGAGGAGGGAGTAAATGTCATCAGAGAATTACCGGAAAATGTCCCCCTGAGACGCATTCCTGAGAGACTGAGGAATGACATGTGGAGAGTGTGTGTGTCCTATGGGCTCCTCGTATGGTGATGTCTGATGGCACCTGCTCTCCTCCACTTCCCACCCGCTTCACCTGCCCCTCTCTGCCCACAAGGAAAGAAGGGAAAAGGGGGAACCTGGGAGGTAGCAGGAAAAGAGCATCACTGTTATGATTGTTGTAGCCCCCCATTATATCTCTCCCCAGCAGCATGTGGCCAAATGATTCATTACAAACAATGGCCAAGGTCTCCTGTTAGGCATGTTCTAGCTGAAGAGCTCCCTCTAATGGCCAGCGCTACACTTGCAGAAGTGATCTCTTGCCCTAGCTGACAGTTTTACCAACATTTCCTATTCTAATTCCAGCTCCCCAGGCCAGCTCGGGACCTTGGTTCCTATTCCCCAGCCCAGATTTGCCTCCTGGCAGAATTTTTAAAGTCATGAGAAGTTGCTCTGCTTCTTAGTAACCGTTGCATTAGCCCAGCCGTTCCTGCTGCCCCCAAACGCTGCAGCCGGCCCTGGGCACCTCAGACAGCCCATAGGGATGCAAAACTGGGAGGGGTGTTAGAAATAAGGTGGGGACTGCTGGGGACAGGGCAGGCTGGAAGCAGAGGGGAGCTGACTCACAGAGATCAAATGGGGAGTTGTAGCCCCAGGGTCATGGAGCACAGCTCAGCTCCATGCGTCTTTTAACCCTTCGCTCCCCATGGCTGCTAGTACTGCATGCAGGCTTCTGGCAGCCTCCGCAGGTGAGTTGGGCCAGTGCCATGAAGCAAACAGCCAGCTCCTAGAGTTCTGAAATACTGAGTCAGGCCGCTGGAAATAATGAAATGAATAAATATACACACGGGGGCACCATAGTATGTGCCTTTGAGTGTTTGAGCCTTTCGGGCATGCTAGGGTCACTATTTCAATATCTTCTCTGCAATCCCGAGGGCTGGAAACTTCCTTACCTAGTCACTGAAAGCCAAGGTGCTCATGGAATCACTGGACTCCAGAATCTGGGGCTTTCAGCAAAACCCCTAATTAGTGCTGGACTCGCTATAAAACCGCAAGAGGTGGTGACTCTGATGAAGAGCAGTGAAGCTGGGAACTTAAAGGTTAAATTTGGCCCCTGTTCAATGGGAAACCAGTGCAGAGAGCGGTGCCCGGAATGATGGGCTCTCGGACACCTGGGGTGCTGAGTAATTGGGCTGGATTTCCCCTACCTCCCTGGCTGCTCTGTCAGCATCTCTTTTGTCAGCACCACCTCCTTCCCCATTCCCCTTCTCTGTGGGAGTCCCACAGGGCTCCCTGCTTGTCCTCTCCTTTTCTCTCTCTGAGCCTTATCCTTCAGTATCTCCGTCTGCTCACATGGGGTCAGTCTCACCTCTGTGCTGATACATTTCTCCACTCTGGCTGTGACAGGTTGGACCCCCCACCCATCCAGGGTGCCACCTGAGGTGCTGGGGTCTCACTGAGCCCGCCCTTTCCAGCAGCCTGGGTTTTCACACCGTGTTTGTGCTGTGCTAGGCTCTCAAGCCCTCACACCCACACACACACACACAGAGTAAAGGCCACACCCAGCTGCAGATACAGACTGAAGTCAGGTCGGTGTGAGAGGATTCACCCAGCACTCATGTGCACACCCCCTTTGGGGAGTAAACACAAAATAATATTGTCTTGTGCTGTATAGAAAGATCTAGCACATAAAAATTCTCCCTCTCCCTCAGTGTGAGGAGAGATATGCACAGCTTCTTGCCCCCCCCCCCAGATAATAATTGCACAAAATGGGTTTAAGAATAAAAAAAACAAGTTTATAAACTATAAAAGGCAGATACTGGCACTAGAAAAAGTTCAGAGAAGGACAACTAAAAAGATTAGGAGTTTGGAAAGGGTCCCATACGAGGAGAGATTAAGGAGGCTCGGACTTTTCAGCTTGGAAAAGAGGAGACTAAGGGGGGATATGATAGAGGTATATACAATTATGAGTGATGTGGAGAAAGTGGATAAGGAAAAGTTATTTACTTATTCCCATAATACAAGAACTAGGGGTCACCAAATGAAATTAATAGGCAGCAGGTTTAAAACAAATAAAAGGAAGTTCTTCTTCACACAACACACAGTCAATTGGTGGAACTCCTTACCTGAGGAGGTTGTGAAGGCTAGGACTATAACAGCGTTTGAAAGAGAACTGGATAAATTCATGGAGGTTAAGTCCATTAATGGCTATTAGCCAGGATGGGTAAGGAATGATGTCCCTAGACTCTGTTTGTCAGAGGGTGGAGATGGCTGGCAGGAGAGAGATCACTTGATCATTACCTGTTAGGTTCACTCCCCCTGGGGCACCTGGCATTGGCCACTGTCGGTAGACATGATACTGGGCTAGATGGACCTTTGGTCTTACCCAGTACAGCCGTTCTTATGTTCTTATGTAGATTTTAAGTGATTATAAGGAATAGCAAAGAAAACAAGGCAGATTACTAAGAAAATAAAACAAAACATGCATACTAAGCTTAAAATCTTAAAGAGACTGGTTTCAAGAAATATTTTCTCACCCTATGTGTTGTTTAGACAAGTTGCAGAGTTTCTATAGCTTAGAGTTCCAGTTATTTCTCTTTCCAGACTAGACTCCTTTCTTAGGCTGGACTCAGCCCTAGCCTGTCCTACTGCTCAGTTCCTTTGTCTCTTCAGGTACTTTCAGCAGTCTTTCTTCTTGGGCAGGAAGGCAATGGAGACGAGTCTTGTTTGCCTTACTCCCCAGCCTTAAATAAGATTTACACAAGGCAGGAATCTTTAGTTTGCCAGTCTTGAACTCCCACCCTTCTTTTAGTGGAAAATTACTCGAAGTCCACGATGGTGTTTAGTACCAGGTGACAGGACCACCTGACCTAGTAGTGTCACAGGTAGGTGGCAGGACGCCTCTCAGGAAGGAGTGAAATGACGATCTTCAAAGTCTTATTCCTTTTTCCTAATGGTCCATCAAGGCTAATGGCCTGTTGTCTGGTGTGTGTCTCCCAAATACACACACAGCTATAATTGTTACATAGTCGATATTCCTAACTTTAGACACAGAAATTATATATGCATAGAAATTGGATAATCACAGTCAGTCAAATGTAATCTTTTGGGTGATACTTTACAAGACCCATCTGGCATAAAATATATCTCAGTTATGCCATGTCCATATTATAAGCATATTTCCCTAAAGAATATAGGGTGTAATGTCACACCGGCCCTGTCTCCTGCTGCTCATTCTCCCATCTGGCATGTTCTCGCTGATATTCCGCCCTTTAATGGCTCATCTGGTGTCAAGCTCACAGTGCCCAAAACTGAGCTCAGAAATCTGCCCTGCCAACCCCTCTCAGCCAGTGATGCCACCTGAATAGCTCTTGGTTTCCTTATGTGCGGTGCCTCATGCCCCATTCTCCTCTATATCCATCCACGCCTCTGCCTCTAATTTGTTTCTCCATCAGAAATCTCAGGGTCTGACTCCATTGTCATTGTCTCATCCTGCAGAAGGAGAATGAGGAGGGAACCGGAAATAGCTGTATGGACTGAATTTCCTGGTCACAAACAGCTGTGTGATTTGTCACAGCCAGAGACAAAACTGTGCAACTGGTGAAGTTTGCACACAGGGCCCAGGCTGGGGGAGAGGAGGGAAGGGTGTTTTTGTCTCACTTCCCCATCTGTCTGTGTCACTGTGTAGAACACCAGTGCCACTCTTCCTCACAGCACAGTAATAATCAGCCTCATCCTCTGCCAGTGCCCCGGAGATGGTCAGATAGCCGGCGTTACTGGACGTGTCTTTGGAACCAGAGAAGCGAGCAGGGACCCCAGAGCCCTGGTGCTTGTCAGAATCTGAATAGTAATACAGCAGGTATCGTGGGGAATTCCCAGGTTTCTGTTGGTACCAGTACACATAGTAGTCACCGATGCCGGTCCCACTGCTCAGGGTGCAGGAGAGTTTCACGGTGTTTCCTGGGGACACTGACACTGAAGGCGGCTGAGTCACCACAGTCTGCGAGCTGGAACCTGGAAAATATGGTGGAAATCTATCAACACCTCTCTGTCAGCCCCCAGCCACTACTGAATCTGGTTGTGCATCGGCTTCAGCAGCAACTTATTTAAACCACTGGCCCCTGTTCTCACCTCGTCCCCACCTCCCC